TTACTTAGTGGAAATGTGGGTTGATTGAACAAAAATTTGCAGTTGCTAACATCCAACAAAACGCCTTTAATCAACTACAGACTACAAAATACAAAATCAACAAACATGGGTCCATGAACAATGGAGTCAAAAAGTTTCAACAAGTTAAATACATCGTAAGAAATATTTTAAGACACTTGCGCACTGATGAAAGCAGATGCTACAAAACAAATCTTTTATTGTCAACTAGACCATGTATGAACTGTTGACAAATTTTGTGTATAAACTTGATAAATTTTCAAATAACTACGCAACACAAACGTTTAAAATCGGCCTTAAGCACTTTTTCGATTTTTAAGAATCGCTATATGTTTTTTTTCTCAAACAATTGTACAAGAAGTGGTAGCAGTAGTAATAGTAGTAGTAGTAGTAATAATAATTCATATCATAGTTTCAACTGTGTAATTGTTATATGTACCGTTTAAATCAAATCAAATCAAATTTTATTCAATCAATCCAAATTAATAATAATTAGGTAATGATTAGGAGACCAAAGCTAAAAGAAAACAAAATTCTTGTGTCGCAGGCCACCGTTCACAAATTGTTCATTCTAACACAATTTTTAAGTAAATTTATAATTCATGACAAAATTAACATAATGCACAATTTACATGATTCTAATTAAATAAAAATTGTACTTTTTTTCAATAAATATTTCTTTATTTTGTTTTTAAACAAATGCAAGGAATTTGTAGTCTTTATATCAACAGGAACTTTCTCCCAGATTCCGGGACCGGTATGTTTTAAACTTCCATCAAGCAGTGTTATTCTTGCAGGTGGTGTATAGAGCAGAGGAGAATGTCGAGTGAACTTTGACTGCACAGCATTTCCGAATTCGAAGAAGTCATTAAAAGATGTTGGTAATTGATAATGTAGGAACTTGAACACAAAGATAGAAACATGATAATTATACAAATTTTTTATGTTTAAAATTTTCAGTTCAGGATAATAACAGCTGACATGACTATATGGATGTAGATTTAATAGAATTTTGACATCTGCTAATTTGCTTCAAGTGAACTTCAGGGCTGTTTCCCCAGATGATGTTGCAGTATATTAGATGTGGATAGATTAATGAATAATACAAATCTATAATTATTGGTTTATTCAATCTTACTTTAATTTTATTAATTACACCTATGGTTTTATTAATTTTTTTCGATAACGAGTCTATATGCATATCCCACGAGAGGTTGTCCTTGATTATCACTCCGAGAAATTTTGTGCTGGATGTACGCGGGATGCTATGGTTATTCATTTTTATATCTAAATTAGGTAATGTGTTAGTCAATATTTTTGGACCGAATAGAATGCAGTTGCATTTAGAAAAATTTACAAAGAGTTTATTATTGATGAACCAATTTGAAACATCATCTAAACTTTTGTTAATTATCTCTACATCGTTTGATGGATTGCTAGTTGGGAAGAAAATGTTAGTGTCATCTGCTTACAGAAGATGATGAGCGTCAGTAGCCAGATGAAAATCATTCATAAAAATTATAAATAGAAGTGGGCCTAAGATTGATCCTTGCGGGACTCCTGAAGTTATATTTAATTTATTTGAAGATTTATTTTTTATCGACACATACTGATTTCTGTTTTGCAGATAGCTTATGAACCATGTATGTGCTATTCCTCTTATCCCATAGGAGTATAATTTCTTTATTAATATCTCATGATTAATAACATCAAATGCCTTGGACAAGTCTATGAAAACACCTATGGCTAGGATTTTTTTATTCAGATTATTTAATATATTTTGTACTAAATGTAGTACTGCTAGTTCAGTTGAATGTTGTGCTCTATATCCATATTGATTTTTATTTAATAAATTATTAATATTCAAGAATGAAGTTATGAATATAATTTTTTCCAGTACTTTAGAAATAGGTGAGAGAAGGGATATTGGTCTGTAATTGTTCATTTCCATCTTGGATTCTTTTTTATGAATAGGTATTATCTTGGATGTTTTGAAGCATTTTGGGAATATTCCTTGACTGATGGACAAATTGAATATATGTGTTATTGGATGTACAACTTCTGAGATGATTTGTTTTGAGAGATAATTACATAATGAGTCATCAGAGGTGCTTTTTTATTGCTAAGATTCTTGACGACTGTTAATACCTCAAGTTCATCAGTGGAGTTTATGTATATGGATTTACAAATGTAGTGGTTTATTTTTGAAGATTCATTAACTGTTTGATTTTCAAGCAAATTTTCAGTAATTTTAATAAAATATTCATTGAAACAGTTACACATTTCTTCTGCATTATCGATTATGTTATTGTTGACTTTAATTTTATTGATATCATTCAACTGTTGATTTTTATTCATTATACCATTTATTATCTCCCACTTTTTCTTTGAACAGCTTTTTGCATCATTAAATCTTTGACTGAAGTAATTTTTTTCTTCCTTTCGTTTAAATGACGTAGAATAATTTCTGAATCGCTTATATTTATTTACATTCTCTGTAGTAGGTGTTGAAATTGTTTTTTTTATAGAGTTTATTCTGTTTCTTTGATAATTTAATTATTTCATCACTTACCCATGGCTTTTTATTTTTCCGTTTCAGCGGTTGCAATGGGGCGTAAATATCAAGAATTTTATTTAATTGATTATAAAAATTCATGCAACAGGTGTCAATGTTACTCTCATCCGTTATTGAATCCCATTTTTCAGAAGATAGAGCTTCCTTAATTAGGGAAATGTTTCTCTTATTTATGTTCCTTTTCAAAGTCAGAGTATCTGTAGTGACAAATCCTGTATTTTCTACAACTGTATAAATTGGATAATGATATGAAAAGTCTGATCTTATTATTCCATTATAACATTGTTGATTTAACTTAAAAAATATATTATCTATTAGTGAAATTGAGTTATTAGTTATCCTAGTTGGTAAATCAATCAAAGGTAAGAAGTAATGCGACAAAAGTATATTTTGAAAATCTTTGGAGGTTTTATCCATTAGATTAATGTTAAAATCTCCGACAATGAAAATTTTATCAAGTGGATTTAGACTATTTAGTATCGATTCAATTTTTTCTAAAAAAGACTCATATTTATAACTAGGTGGTCGATAGATGGCAATTATCATGTTATGTAGTGAGGCTTGATGCAATTCAAATTCCACGCAAAGTATGTCAACGTTGTCATCATCGAATATGCTGCTTTCATTTACAACATATTTTGCGTCATCTTTTATAAACATTCCAACACCGCCTCCACGTCTATTTCTTCTATTCTTGTATACGAAATTGTAATTATTTAATTTAATTATATCAGCAGTTTCATCGTTTAACCAACTCTCAGATATTACAATAATTTTGAAAATAAAATCAAATTGTTTCAACAAGATCTCCAGATTCAATAATTTGTGAAACAGACTACGAGCATTTAAACATAATATTGAGATAAAATCACTGCCGATATGCTTTTGTAATTCTAACATATTTTTAGAAAATTCCTCAACAGTGTAATAATTTGAGTCGTTGTTACTGAGGTGTTTATCTGATATATTATTATTGATTTGTGTGTTATTCATCATGTTTTTGTTTATTTATTAAAGTTACTTCATTTTTACCATCAATGTTAATTTCATTTTTATTCTTTTTGTCAATATTATTATTTGGTTTGAAGACCCACTCACGAATGATTGTGTCCTCATCCCAGAGAGCAGAATCTGTGAAAGTGCTATCTGAATTATTGATGTCAATACATATTCTGAAGCCTTTTCCCAGATGAGACTTTGCTTCAAAACAACTGATTACTTTAAATTTATTTGTTTTCAAGTATTCTGTCAAAGTTTCATTATTGACTGTGTCAGCAAGATTACTTACAAAGTAAACTTTTTTTTTAACAATTGCCCCAGCTGATTTGGGACACATGCCAGTGCTGTTGGTTCCTCTAATGTTTTTAATTTGACGTTTCTTTTTCGAGATAATTGAAAAAAGATTTTCTTGTTGAATTGCTGATGGAGACTGATGCTGCTGATGAGTAAGAGGTCCTAATGATGAGGAGGGATGTTGCTGATGTTGTTGTGCAGTTGGGGGTATTTGTATCCGAACAGCTGGATTTCTTGGGAGAGAACGAGGACTTTGAATCTCATTCAATGTAGGATTGTCATTTTTTGCTGTCACCGCCGAGTAAAGCATATTCTGTTTATTTATTCCTAAGCTGACTGTATTTAACTGTTCTTTTATTTCATGTAGCTGTTGTTGGATTTTTTCATCTTTGCTGTTTTCGTCATTCTGTTTTAAACCTGAAGCAAAGCATGGGACTTTTTTTAAGTTTACTGCGGCATAAATAGGTAATTTATATTCTAATTTATTCAAATAGACTAAATCGATAACTTGAAATATTTCCTGTATTTCGGCGTCCTTTGTATTACCATGAGGAACAAGTTTCAATTTTTCACTTTCCAGCAGGCTTTCAACATGACTAATTAATGATTTTTTTGAATTAACTAATTCTTTGACTGAGTAGAGTTGTTTTATGTTTTCCAACACTTTCAAATTTTCAGCTTCTACTCTGAAATTAAACAGAAAGCACAATAAATCATCAGCATGTATAGTCCGTGCAACCATTTTTCAAAATTCTCCGGTCCGATTTTCCGTAAAAGCAACAAAATTTACAAAGTTAATTAACAGAAATTAATTTAAAAATTAGATATTTTCCTGTTTTAACCAAAAATTAATACTACTAAACTTAAATTTAAAAATATTTTTCAAAATTAGTTAAATTAAAACGAGAGAGAAAACGTGCGTTAAGCTGAGACAATCAAAATTACATTAATTACATTAGGTAATGATTTCTTTTTAAAAATTTATTTGATTTTGAAATGTTGGTTTTGTATCTTCACCTCCCGTCCTTGTCGTCAAAGTTGGAAATAAAAATTGTTTATTTATCATCTTCTATATTGTCACTCACGATTTTATTATTATTTTACATATGTTTTTACATGTTGTAAAACTATTTTACAATAGTAACTGCTACAAAAAAATTTATCTCATCACGAAAAATAAAAAATTGCTTTCCCAACAAAGAAATTTTTTGGTATTTCATTTTCTATTGAATGCTGCAAGCTAGAGAGTTGAAATCTTTTGTTAGTTTTAAAGACATTTTTTCGAAAAGTTAAAGATTTTTTCATAAGTAAAAATATACAATAACAATTCTTTTTTCAAAAAAGTTAGCTGAATAAAGATTTAGAATTTCGTTATAAAAATAACGTTCAATCTGAAAATTTTTTATTAGGCCTAGAAATTATTTATTTTGAGAAGACTGAATTTTGTTATAAATTTCGTTTAGGATATCAGCATAAATTTTTTTTTAATCTTTTTTATTTTGAAAAGACTGAATTTTGTTATAAAAATAACGTTCAATCTGAAAATTTTTTACTATGTCTAAAAATTTTTTGTGTAAGAGTTGAGTTGCAGTTTTTCATCATCCTTTTTAAAACAACCCACTGCAGTTTTGAAAAACTATTGAAAAGAATTTTGATTTATTTTTTGATTGAAAATTAATGATTTTTTTCAAAATAAAATAAACAGTTTTACCTTACTAAAATTAAAAAAAGATAGCTTAGTGATGCAAAATATTCAATAACAAACAAATTTTATTCAAGAACCCGGCTGAAGATAAGAAAGTGCTACAAAACATCATTTATGTACGTACCCTCTAACTTGTTACAAATTCATCATTACCTTCAGGTACTACGCCATACTCAGACCCATGCAGACTAGATTCAATTGCACCCAGAACAGAGCAAAGAAGATGGTCTGCTTTGTTTGGTCTCTGTCAATCATTCTAGCCACGCCTATTTTATATGGACAAGTACTTTATTCAATCTTCAATTTTTTAAATCTGATAAAAATTTCGCATACCTTCTTGAGCTATTTGCATGCGTTCCCGAAAAACATCAATTGCAATTCCAAATGAGTGAATGGTGTATCGATTTGCATCCACAAACACATGAGTATGAATAGGGATGAGAACTTGAATAACACACTTATTTTTATCAATTATTTTATGATTTTTTACTTTTTTATTTATTCATTTTTGATGTAGACAATTAATGAATGATCATTCTTTAAAAAATTTACTTCTTTGGGCGAATAGTCACATTCGTTTCGATTCAACAGCATTATTATAAAACTACAAGTATATTACAAAGAATGAAAATTTTTTTTTGCAAACAGTCACTGCGGGCAGTAGGTGAAGATGGTGATTTGTTCTGGTGTGTCAAGATGTGGCCGTCGAAAGCTGTCGAACGCTTGTTTGAAGTTGGTTTTACAAAATAAATCAAATTATAAGCTAATTATTTTTTTCAAATTTATTGTGGCGTTTTGGAATATATGAAACAATAAATTTCGTTATTGTTATTTATAAAATTAACATCAATCATGACACTTTATTTCAAACCAATGTCAAAAAATTTTGAAAATTTGGTGAATTCATCTAGCATCTGTTTATATATGTCCGGTGATTTCAATTTAATATTTTCAGATCTGGATGCTGGTACTCGTACTCAGCATTCCACTTTCAGTCATGATCTTTGCCTACGTCGGCATCTGCAGAGAGCTCTGGAACGTAATGGCCATGAGAGGAACCATGGTGGCCAGGAGGTATGCTTGCGTAATATTTTTCAATACCATCTCCCTTTGCGTAATATTTTACGTCATTTTTGATTACGTATTATTTCATACTATATCCTCGTATTAATGCACACCATCTCTGCGCTTTATTGTATGCTACTTTTGCTTGCGTGCTATTTCAAACCATCTCTGTTTTCGTATCATTTTATGCCAAACCATTATTTGTTATTCTAGAATATAAAACATTCATAAATTTTTTATGGCCCTACAAAATGGAACCTTTGGCAACATGATTGGGAATTAAATAAATTGTTTAAGACGTTTACCGTGTACAGTTTTTCAAATCAATTTTTATTCAGAAAATTTGGCACGGTATGTTAACAGCCCATCCCATCTAGCTTCAAAATACAGATAAATGATTATAATGTCTAGTTATTGTATTAAAATCATATGTATATATATGTTTGTATCCTCTGGTATCATGGTCGTTTGCAAGATTCTTAGGCACGGTTGTAAACACGTGTGTCACCAACAGTAAAACCTGAATATCGACAAAATTAAAACTGTTAGGGTGTTACATTTTTTCTGTGCTAGCTTAAGTTTTTAAGTCCTGGAAAATTTTTAAAGAAATGAAAATATGATTAACTACATTGAAATGTGGTTTTTGAGAAGAATTATGAAAATTAGTTGGGCCTCTCATACACTTCGACTGAAGATGTATTAAAACAGTCCGGTTATGAAAAGAGGAAATTACTACAGATAATCCGACGGGGGCTGTTAAAGTTTTTTGGTCACATCATGCGGATTGAAAGAATGGAAAATCTAACAACTAATGGAAAGATTGCAGAGAAAAAGGAAAAGGGTCAACAACGAATAACATTCGTAAAATCCTTGTGTTGCTTGTTGAATATCACCACATTTCAACTCGTGCAAAGTGTTAAAGATAGGATTTTATGAAGGTCGATGGTCGACAATGTCTTGAAAGGATAAGGCACGAGAAAGAATAAGAAACACGTGTGTCACTCGTTCACTTGTACTCATTTTTACAAAATTTAATTTATTATTTTTGCCTTATTTTGTTTATAAAGTTTTATTAATTTACACCACTAGCTGCTGAGCCGTTAAATTCGCATGAAAAATTGCCTGTCCAAGTGCACTCCATGTGCATCTGACAGCAATTTCGTCGGAAGCATTGTTGACGGAATGTTTCTTTAAAATTTGTAATAAAAATAAATTGTTATTCTCCATGCGTGCATTATTTTGATTAAATAAAACAAAAGGGAGAAAAATTAATTGAAATTGCTTTGATGCGATTTTCTATAATTCAAAATTTTATTTTATATAAAAATGTTTCAATATGAACTGTTTACAAATTTTATTTAAAACATCATAATATACTAATATACCAAAAATAAAGAGTAAAAGATGGAAAAATAAGAAAAAAACTAATCAAGCGAATGAACATTCATCTCTAGCGGATGTTACTACTCGCGACATTCAGCTTCCATTGCATGTCGTTACATCTACACAAGTTGCTATTTCAGATCGATAAAATGATTTCTTAAATTTATTTCTTTTCCTTCTTTCATCCATCCATCTATCCATCCAAGCGTCTATCCATCCATCCATCCATCCATCCATCCATCCATACATCTGTCCTCCATCCATCCAGGCAGAATCCCAATCATTTGTTTCTCTTCTTACTTCAACTAAATTTCAACCAACCCACCCATCCATTTCACTCTTTAAAAAACTGTGAATTAAAAAAATAATCGATTGAAATATTAAATGAAAGAAATGCTATATATAATATATAATTACTGGATTAATTATAAATTATAAAATTATAAATTATTATTATTATAATTATAATTATAAATGCTCACTCAACGTTGCAAAAGACCTTCCGACACACACACACACACACACACACACACACACATACACACACACACACATACACACACACACACATACACACACACTCACTCGCACCACATAGATACATGTATAAATATATATTTTATTTGCTTATTTATTTATTTGTTTGTTTATTTATTTTAAGTAATAACCAAAAAATAAAAATTATAGTAAAATCTGAGCTAAATTTTTGTTAGAAATGTATTTTGATTTTTCGCGTTGATTTTTTTTTAAATTTGATATTTAAATTTAAATTAAATTAATTTAAATTCATCATACTTACTCAAAAATACTGTAATTCAAAGAAGTGTGTTTTTCGATCGAATCGTGTCAAGTGCCTTTTTACGCAGTTTATTTTGTTGTTTGCGTTGTTTAGCTTGCTGTTTATTTTGTTGTTTGTTTTCACTTTTGTTGTTATTGATGTTGTTTTATTTGTTTTTGTCGTTCATAGTAAGATGCTAAGCGACATTCTGTTGTTGAAGTTATTTTGTTGATGTTTTGTCATTGATAGTTTACATGAATGCAAGCATGACGCAAAATATTATCGCCAATAAAATTTATCAAGAGAATTAAAAATTTATCTATATTTATTTGATATTTCAGCAAACTTATTTTTGTTTCATGTAATAAATGATTGAAATGCCCAGTTAAGGTCAGCTTAGCTGTTTCTTTTTTTACTTTGAACGCCCTGTGCAGTACGGCCCCGTTAGGCCGTTAAGTGCTCCACTAATCTTTTGAAGAATTGAATTAGAACAACTCGGTTAACACCTGCCTTTGTCCTTTATTTTCTGCCGTTGCATTTTTTACATCTTCACTATTATTGCCAGCTTGATCAAAATTTTTTTATTGCTGTTTTATCGCAAATCCAATAATACTATTTTTTTTTATTTTTACTTGAGAAATAAATTTTGTAAAAAATTGAAGGGCATCATTTAGTTTGATAAATTTTTTAAGCCGTTATAAATATATTATTTTGTTTGGATAATTTGAAAAGTTTTCGAATTTTGTTCACGAAAAATCACTTTGGTCGAGATCTGGCGAAATTACCCTTCTTACACAAACGAAAGCTTCAAAAGAGGTTCAAAGAACGTTTTGATGAATTTTGAACTTTGCTTCCTAATCCTCTTTTCTTAAAGACGTTGGGAACTAATTGAGAATTTTAAAAAAACTTAATAAAAAGATATTTTTTTTCTAAATTTAAAATTTTATTTATCTTTATATGTTTGAATTTATATTATAGGTATATCATAAAATTTGTAATAAAACCTATTTTTACATCTTATATCTGCAAGACACATCTTGGAAAATAATAGCGCTATGAAATAAAACTGCAATAAGAAAAAGGCATTTACTCCTGTGCTGTTACAAAAAGAACATTGGACAAACTTAAAATTAGGTAATAATAACATAATACGTTTGATAATTGATGAAAAAAGTTGTGACAAGGGTCAGTCACCTCGTGAAAAATATAATCTACCGTAGTTACATTCAAAATAGTCCACCATAATATACCATAGTATTGATGTTAAAATTCACTGCCAAAACATTTATCGAAGAAATGGTATTTTGATTTTTTCTTTTACCGCTTTAAATAACATTCATATTTTGATGGTTAAGTTTTCCAATTTGACTCCAGGGCAGTCATTTTTATCGTGAATAAACGCAAAACCTAAAACTTATTATAGTGTAGGCGCATGAGATAGCACACACACACACACACACACATACACACACATACATACACACACACACACATACACACACACAAAAACAAACAAACACAAACACATACTTACATTCACACACACACACTGCACTACACAGTACACGAATGACAAATAATGCTTCTATGTTGATCTTCAAACTCAGAAATGCATTGCTTTCACAGCAGTATCGTGCTAATAAATGTCGTTGATTTATAATAAGTGCATTGCTTAGTAGGTAGTTTGAACGTTTACTGGCTCATCACGATACTTCATGTAAACATTTCTAAACACTAAATTTCTTATAAATATTATCGTAGTAATATCACATAATTATAATGTGTGCATGCACATCTATAGTAGCGGACCTAACCACCTTTGACGGAGGGGGGGCAAAATTTTGAGAAAATGCAACATTTTAACGGGGTGAAAGATCTGTGGTAGTGTGGGGGCTGACGACCTTTTGTTAGCTTATCACGTCCATCTTTCGGTCGATTTTACACATAAAACTGTGCTATTTCTGACTTTCATTAAAAAACTGCTGCCTCATCGCCCTCCTTCTGGATTCGTCACGTCACATCTATGAATGCGAATGGGGATTTTCGTATAGAGATATCTATTGAGGTTGATAAATTTGCAACGTGCCGCACGTCTCCACATGCCACTTCCATTAGATTTGCAATGGCCTGCTTTCAACGAATTAGGAGTTAAAGCAGAGTACTGTAATTGCAACGTGTTTGTGATGTGCTACCAGCATGTGAGCAGAAATAAGTGTACGTTTATGTGTGTTTGCAACTTTTCGAATGTGCTTGTACGTACAGTACATGCTTGTAAAGTGCCTTATGTGTGTGTTGGCGAGTGGTATTATAACTAATGTACCAGTTCGCTTTAAATACGCAGTCACAACACAGTTTGCTCTTTTTGAGAAAACACATCAGAGTTTCAAAGGATTGATCGAAACTAAAACTTCAATGTGAGATTGAATGAAATGGGCTTTTTAACAAATATTGTTGGTAGCAGATTAACCAAGTATGGTTTCTCGAAAACATCACTTGGAGCCAGTCTCTGGTCTCATCAGTGGCTTTCAAACTCTACTGAGATGCGCTAAAATGTGAGACAAATACTTGAGCTAACGTTACCCATGGACAAATGGAAGCACTAATGGAGAATGTTTATGATTTAAGCACTCACAGAAAGTGTGTAGTTTTTAAGTAAAAGTACTGAAAATAGCACATTAAGAATAGTAAAAAAGTACAAATATTCACGAGTACTTGAGTGAGAGCGCCAAAATTTGTAAATTGAAAATGCGCTCAATTTAAACGAACTCAGGTATCATCAAAATTACTCCATCCATATTAAAGACGGCCATTGTAAGCACATAAATCAGCCAACTGCGACGTGCAATCACAGCATGTTCATCTCCTCAATTCATAATAACGGAACTCCAGAAAATCATTAAATGAGCCATTGCTTTTTTATCGTTATTCATTTAAATGATTATTGT